TTAACCATCGCGCCACTTGGCCGGCCCCGCGTGCTGTTCTTCTTATAGTTGGCTGTGTATCTATGCCCACACCGCTGTTCCTAGCCTTACCTTCTCTGTTGCTCAAGACTGCAGGTCCTGGGCAGCAAGGACAGCTGCCTCCATCGCTTTCCCGTAGGAGACTTGCACATGTTGAACCGTCAGGCTCCTGACCGCCCTCAAGCATCCCTTCCTTGGTGCTAACCGCTGCCTCTTCTGGTTTCCAGGCACCCCAGCCTGCAGTCCACGTGCAGGGGCAAGAGCCCCTGACCGCCTCCATGCTGGCTGCGGCACCCCCCCAGGAACAGAAGCAGATGCTGGGTGAGTGACTCACGTGCTTGCAGAAGAGGGGCCGGAGCCTGGTACTGACGTGGACACCAGTGTCCATTTACTGGGATTCGACCTGGTTTTTACTTCAGTAATCGTCCCACAGGAGAACGTTTGTTCCCACTCATCCAAACCATGCATTCAAACCTGGCTGGGAAGATTACAGGAATGCTGCTGGAGATCGACAACTCTGAGCTGCTGCACATGCTGGAGTCCCCCGAGTCTCTCCGCTCCAAGGTGAGCCAGGTGGTCCCCAGACCCCACGACGTCAGCTCGCTCCACTGGGGAGAATGACCGGTGGCCTTGGACACCGGGTCTGGCAGAGAGAAGGGGCTGTTGTGGTGTGTGGGTATTTGGGAGAGCGGTCAGCACCAGGAGAAGCCGCCCCTGGGCCTGGGCAGCTGGGAGGGATGGAAGGGCTCTCCTTAGATGTCACTGACTGCCTGGAGGTTCCTCACAGGTGGATGAAGCTGTGGCGGTTCTACAGGCTCATCATGCCAAGAAAGAAGCTGCCCAGAAGGTGGGCGCTGTTGCTGCTGCTACCTCTTAGACAAGGAAAAACCGTATGTTTGGCTGTTTTTGTTCTCTGCAATCATTTTAACTCGTGAATATCTTCCTAAAAGATGAGGGACACTGTGTAGAGCTGTGTTTCAGCCATTTAACCTGATAACATGGGCAAGCTGTCCCAGGTTTTTTCTGTCATCTAGATGAATTAATATAGAGAAGAGAGTACATATTGTAAATTATAAGGAGCAAAAAAGAAGTTTCCTCAGTAAAGGGCATGTGGTTAGAGGTTGCGCATGTCTTAGCATCCTTTCCTGGTGGTTATAAGCAGACTTTCTCAAGAGTCACCTTTTCGGTCTGGAATAGTGATAGATCTATAGTGATAGATCATAATCAGATCTCACAGCCTCATTTCTATGAGCATCTCCCTGGTTTGGCTTGAGATTGGTAAGGTCAGCTGTGTGTATAACCACTGCTTATCTCTGGGAACACAGTGGCCTTGGTGTCAAAGTGGGAGAAACAGACACACCTGTGACTACAGTTACAGGGTATGTTCCAGTTTTAGACTTGGGGTCCATGGTCCTTGTCTGCGGGGGATTGGGTGAGTAAAGTTTAACTAGGATCTCTGACAAGGACTGGTAGGTGCTTCCAGATGGAGAGAGAACCAAGTGAGCCGAGGCTAGGGGAAATGGCACGTGGTAAGGGCCAGAGCTGGTATGGAGGTTGGGGTTGACTTGACATAGCCATGGCCATGGCCCCTTGGTCTGTCATTTGGAATTTAAAAAAGAGAACCATCCATCAAACTGTAGAAGCTTTTGAGTACAGGATGGCCTGGAAGGGTGGGGTTTGGGTTCTTATAGACAGTAGCTAGCCTCAAAGCCAGTGGTTCTCAACTAGGGCTGCCCCCTTAGGACATTTGCCAACGTCTGGAGACATTTTCAGTTCTCACTACTGGAAATGTGTCACTGGCATCTAGCGGTAGAGGCCAGGGAAGCTGCCAAATATTCTACACTGTACAGGGCAGTCCCAACAAGATTTATCTGGGCCAAAATATCAGCAAGCACTGAGATTGAGAAACTGCTCTACAAGACCTTCTGTTAGCAGCCAGGAATTTCAGTGAATCTGTGAGGTTCTTTTGATTATTGGNTGATGAGAAGTTAAGGAAAGAGTTTTCTCCTTTCGGATCCATCACCAGTGCTAAGGTATTTCACACTGAGGCGCTGGGATTGAAAGCAGAAGTTGTCATGTTTTAGCAGTTTATTGACGTTCGTTTCATTGACGGAATAGGATCTGAACTGTGTTCATTTCTGAGAGTAGCTGCCACATGAACCTGGCATTCAGTTACCCGTCAGAGCGTGTGCTCTGCAGAATGACGGTTGACGAGGTCGTTTCTGTGCTGCCTCCCAGCGCTGGCGTGTGGAGATGACTGACCCAGGGCACCTGAATCTTTCCCATCCTTGGCTGCTTCGTGCTAGTGTGGGGACAGATGGTGCTACAGTAAGAGCAGAGGAAATCCAGACGGGCTGTTTTCCATTTGCCTTGGGGCCTGTCTCTACAACTCTGCCACACTTTCTCCCTGAGCGAAGGTGTTTTGAGGATTTTAGAGCTGGTATGGGAACTTCCATCCTGGCCTTATAAAGAAGGAGGGAAGAGGAGCAGGAAGTGTGTTTTTCCATGTTTTGGGGTATGCATCATCTGCTTAATTTTCTTTGATAAATCAACTGAGTTAGCAGGTGAGTATGAAACCCCTTTTAAAAGTCAAGGAATTTGAGTCCTTGAGCAAGAGAACGCTGGTTACCTGAGGATGGATATTGTACTGTTACGTTTCACAGGCACCATTTTCACATTCCTCATTGGCCCACCTCATTGGTAGAGAGTTGTTGGGTTGATACACATCTTTACTCCCATGTATTCCACTTTAGGAGGCTATCCAATCAGTGAGCTAAGACACAAAACGGTGCTAAGTACACGTGGTCATGTTGCTACCAGTGCTTCTGAAGAGCTAGGCCAGGGGAAGCAATAAATAACCTTTTGAAGTGAGGCCAAGAGCCATTTATGAACAACCACCTGTGTGCGGGAAAAGACCGCCTGGACCAGTGGACAGGTGGCTTTGTAGCTGTTTGCCTTAGTATATATTCCAGGCTTTTGTGAGGCTTGGAGAGGGCAAGTAAGTGATTAGAAATTGCAGAGCTGGGCCTAGACTCCAACTATCGGTCTCCCAGCTGGTAATTTTTCTGCTGTGTTACTCCCACTGAATTAATGGTGGCAGCGATTGGTTTTAACTCCTGCCCACATGTGATATTTCAAAAACATATCCTACAGGGAGTGCTAAGAGCCTATTAAAGTTTTGTTCCCCAAAGTCTTAGGTGAGTCCTACAATTAAACTGCTTGACAGTACCGTCCATATCTTTTGTGGGCTCCCAGAGGTATAGCTGTGCTGCTAGATAACAGGAAACATCTTTGGCTTCCTGGTTTAACCATTAGTCGTGTCATAGGTTTGGGAACTTGAGAATAACCTGGGGATCTAACAAAGAAAAGGCTTAGGTCCTACCCTTAGAGAGCAGTGACTTAATTGGTCTGTGGTACATCCTGGGGCAGGGCTGAGAACCCCTCTCCTAGACATGGTAACTCGTGCAGCAGAACCCAGGTTTTCTGGCTCCTAATAGCTGCCCCAACCCAGAACACCTTTTTCTTAAGAAGCTGGTCTCCTTTTGTAGGTAATGTTGGAAGATGGGAGAAGCAAAGGGTTTGGCTTTGTCTGCTTCTCATCTCCTGAGGAGGCAACCAAAGCAGTCACTGAGATGAATGGACGCATCGTGGGCTCCAAGCCGCTGTATGTTGCCCTGGCCCAGAGGAAGGAAGAGAGAAAGGCTCACCTGACCAACCAGTATATGCAGCGGGTGGCCGGAATGAGAGCACTCCCTGCCAATGCCATCTTAAATCAGTTCCAGCCTGCAGCTGGCGGCTACTTTGTGCCAGCAGTTCCACAGGTGGGTCTGCTCTTCAGAACCTGCCCACTGACAGCAGCTCCTGTAGTCTGCAGCAGTGGGGAGAGGGGTTTTGGGATGTCAGAATTCTAGAATGTCAGAGTAAGGGTGGTTCAGGAAAAACGAGGAAGGACTTACTCATGGTCACACACACAGTGGCAGGGATAGAGTAAAGGGATCCCCATTAGCTGACCCTCCTGCCCCCAAGCTTTTGAGTAAGAGAGTGCCTCTATCCAAACAATTAGCCAAAGCCTGGTAGTGAGATGAGATGAGATACTTATCTAGTGTGGACCCAGGTTCTTAAGATAAAAAGGGCTCGGGTGTCCTTTCTTACAGGCTCAAGGAAGACCTCCATATTACACACCTAACCAGTTAGCACAGATGAGGCCTAATCCACGCTGGCAGCAAGGTGGGAGACCTCAAGGTAGGTGGTGGGGAGCAGGGGTTTGATACCGAGGATGTACCTGCCCTGGTCTCCCCTGCCTCTCCTTGTCCTTCTGAGGTGCAGCCTAGGTTCTGGTCCACAGCATTCGTCAGTGATGTGCCATTTATGTCTTTTCACCAGGCTTCCAAGGAATGCCAAGTGCTATACGCCAGTCTGGGCCTCGTCCAACTCTTCGCCATCTGGCTCCAACTGGTAATGCTCCGGCCTCTCGTGGCCTCCCTACTACCGCTCAGAGAGTCGGTGAGCAAACTGGCCTTGAGAAGCGTGGCCTGGGGAGGAGGGGGTCAGGGTGACTGGGCTCTGCCCAGGGCCGGTCAGTGTTGCACTCACGTTCGAGTCCTGGTCCTGTAATCTTAGCTGTGTGCTTAGTATGTCAGGGGCAGGCAACAGTATTAGTGCTAGGAACGCTGGTTACTTTGAAGAGTCTTTGCTCATTGGTGACTTGTGTGAAAAAGGTTAAGTGTAGAAGTTTGTTAGCTGTATGACTACAGAGGCAGCGTGTTCTTTTGGGTGGAGTTGGGAGAGTTAGGAAACTTTTTTTTCAGAGTGTGTCCTGTATTCTGAGAGATGGAAAGAGTTGTATGCTACCTGTTGGCTGTTCCTTGAAAGTAGCAGTAGAGGCCCCGTGTGTGATGTGTTATGTGAACATGCTTTGGAATTTCTCCTTCCGTGGGACGTGGCCAGTTGGACGTCTGCTGCCAACACTGATGTGCATTTGCTGGTCTGTTGTAGGGTCTGAGTGCCCGGACCGCTTGGCTATGGACTTTGGTGGGGCTGGTGCCGCCCAGCAAGGGCTGACTGACAGCTGCCAGTCTGGAGGTGGTATTGGATGCACACAGAATGGGGAAAGATGGGATTTGACGGGTCTTTGCCCAGACTGACGGGCTTTAATTTTACTTGTTCTCTTCCTAAGGTGTCCCCACAGCTGTGCAGAACTTAGCACCTCGTACCGCGGCGGCTGCTGCTGCTCCTCGGGCCGTTGCACCGTACAAGTACGCCTCCAGTGTCCGCAGCCCTCACGCTGCCACACAGCCTCTGCAGGTGAGGTGCACCGCACAGAACGCTAGAAGGATGCCTGTTTCCACATGGCTCAAAAGATGCCTTGCTTTGCGTCCTTTAACAGGTGTTAAATGCCTGCTCTGTGTCAGGGTGCTGTGTCCTGTGTGATGACACTGCACTTGAGGGGCTCTCTAGTGGGAGAGAAGGGGCTTGAGAGGGTTTTTCCTGCTGACACTTCACTCAGGCCCCGGAGTGGACAGCCGGTGCTCCCTGCTCTCCTTTTACAATGTACAGGTGCTCATTCAGCTCTTGGAGCTTCCATTTAACGTCCACCTCCACTGGCCTAGTTGGCCCTTAGCTGCTCTGCAAGGCGCTGAGTACATGAAAGCAGGAAAGAACTTCGTCTTCAGAGGTGTTAAGTTGGGGTGGAGGGTTGGACCTATATCAGATTTTCTAAGCCAGAACCTGCCGTCTCAGTAGCCAAGATACAGCCAGTTGGTTGGTCGAACAGCTTAGCAGCGCTCAGCTTGGAGCCACCACACTCAGCCTTGTGATCCGTGAGCTGCTTCCTCCTGCTCTGGGCTAAGCTGGATGTTTCCCAGAACTTGATGCTACGTGAAATATTTTCTGGTCCTACTTTTAGGGCTGTGACTGTCATTGATATTGCTTGTTGACAGTCCTCAAACATTTGATACAATAAGAACATTTGGTACAATAATGTTGATATGGGGTGTAATTGTAAATGGTTTGATATTCACACCCCTTGACCCGGTCTCTACTGGGAATTCACCCTAAAGGAAAACTTATTTTTAGGAAAAGTCTGCACATACAAATGTTCACTGTGCCTTATTTATTAACAAGGTTTCTGATTCTTAGGTAACCTTGGGTAAAGTACCATTATAACCTTGAATAAATTAAAATCATTTGATAGATGCTTGCCAAGCATTGTAGGGTTTTTAATTTTTTTATTTCCCTTCCCTTCTGGTAGCGTGCTGTTCTTCTT